TGACATTTGACCAGTAGTTATAGGTATATAGGCCCTACAGAGTACTGACATTTGACCAGTTGCTATAGGTATATGGCCCTACAGAGTCCTGACATTTGCCCTGTAGCTATGGGTATATAGGCCCTACAGAGTCCCGACATTTGACCAGTAGCTATAGGTACATAGGCCCGCTAGGGTTCTGACATTGGACCAGGAGCTAGTAGCCAAGGTACATGTACATAGGCCCTCTAGGGTTCTGAAATTGGACCAGTAGCTAGTAGCCAAGGTACATGGATATAGGCCCTCTAGGGTCCTGGCATTTGACCAGTAGCTTTAGGTACCTATAGGTATATAGGCCCTACAGATTCCTGACATTTGACCGGTAGCTAAAGGTACATAGGCCCTCTAGGATTCTGGGATTTGACCAGTAGCTATAGGTATTTAGGCCCTACAGAGTCCTGACATTGGACCAGTAGCTATAGGTATATAGACCCTACAGAGTCCTGAAATTTGACCGGTAGCTAAAGGTACATAGGCCCTCTAGGCTTCCGGCCTTTGACCAGTAGCTATAGGTATAGAGGCCCTACAGAGTCCTGATATTTGACCAGTAGCTATAGGTATTTAGGCCCTACAGAGTCCTGACATTGGACCAGTAGCTGGTAGCCAAGGTACATGTATATAGGCCCTCTAGGGTTCTGGCATTGGACCAGCAGCTAGTAGCCAAGGTACATGTACATAGGCCCTCTAGGGTTCTGACATTGGACCAGTAGCCAGTAGCCAAGGTACATGTATATAGTCCCTCTAGGGTTCTGGCATTGGACCAGTAGCTAGTAGCCAAGGTCCATGTATATAGGCCCTCTAGGGTTCTGAGATTGGACCAGTAGCTAGTAGCCAAGGTCCATGTATATAGGCCCTCTAGGGTCCTGGCATTGGACCCTAAAGGTACATAGGCCCTCTAGGATTCTGACATTTGACCAGTAGCTATAGGTATTTAGGCCCTACAGAGTCCTGACATTTGCCCTGTAGCTATGGGTATATAGGCCCTACAGAGTCCCGACATTTGACCAGTAGCTATAGGAATATAGGCCCTACAGAGTCCTGACATTGGACCAGTAGCTGGTAGCCAAGGTACATGTATATAGTCACTCTAGGTTTCTGACATTGGACCATTAGCTAGTAGCCAAGGTACATGTATATAGTCCCTCTAGTGACATTTGACCAGTAGCTATAGGAATATAGGCCCTACAGGGTCCTGACATTTGCTCTGTAGCTATAGGTATATAGGCCTTACAGAGTCCTGATATTTGACCAGTAGCTATAGGTATTTAGGCCCTACAGAGTCCTGACATTGGACCAGTAGCTAGTAGTCAAGGTACATGTATATAGGCCCTCTAGGGTCCTGGCATTTGACCAGTAGCTTTAGGTACATGTCTGTAGGATGGAATGCTATGAAGTTAATTCATAAAATGTATGTCTTTGACCTACTTTCATAGTCACTAGGGTCAACAAGTGTACATTTAGAAGAACCAGAGGGTATAGGGCCATGCTACATGTACTTTGGTATATTATATGGACCAGCAGTGCAGGTTTGGTATATTATATGGACCAGCAGTGCAGGTTTGGTATATTATATGGACCAGCAGTGCAGGTTTGTCTATATATTGATGTGTTGAGTTCAAAGAAAAGGTTCAAGCACTGTTTGGCAACCAGGGTCAACACAGGCTATTTTCACACAACTCAAGCTCAACAAAGGCCATGACTGTGCTGTTAATTTTCCTTATATCAATAACCCTGATCTGTTTGAAAGTGTCAAGATGTTAAATTGCTTCATAGGAAATACATTCTTTCTAGACTCCTGACATATATGAAACAAAACAGATATCAATAAAACAATAGATTTCTTTATTTAATGTTCCATGATTGTGTCATATATAACAGAATAAAAATATAGTTGTGTTACACATAAATTACTATTATATTCGTACAAATAAAAAACAAGAACAAAACAATAATTTGAACTCAATAAAAATTGGGCAAAATATTAACAAAGGCCAGATTAACATGGTGACCATTAAAAAGGTAGGCGAATCGGTAGTAACAAGAAACAACAACAAACAACAACAAGCAACAACCAGCAACAACAAACACAATTAAAGTATTGTAATATATATAACATTATCACAGTCTGCTTTTAACTAAATAATAATCATGCCATTCAATTTGTCCTATAATTTACAACCCAGGAACGTGTAATATATCGCTCGATGTACACACTGTATAGCGACATAGTTCTGGTGACTTAGTCTCCATAACAAATGAACCTTATAAAACAGACATTTCGTCAATATTTGTTACTATGAATCTGAAATGTAGCGTCGGTACATAACAAACCTGGCATACAGTCAACATACTTATTTAATCTGTCATACAGTCAACATACTTATTTAATCTGTCATACAGTCAACATACTTATTTAACCTGTTATACAGTCAACATACTTATTTCAACTGTTATACAGTCAACATACTTATTTAACCTGTCATACAGTCAACATACTTATTTAACCTGCCATACAGTAAGCATACTTATTGAACCCGGCATCGGTCAACATACTTACTTAACCTGGAATACAGTCAATATACTTATTTAAGCGCGCTCAGCTTTGAGAGCGTTGTGTAAATCTAAACCAGCCCATTTATGATTTGGTGTACACCAAAGATATTACAATAGAGAACAACATACAAGAACTAAAATTGGCTCATTCAAAGTTTATTTTATTTATCAATATTTAAAGAGTAAAAAGTGCCAAAATAACACTACCGCTAAAATATGTAAGTTTACAGTATTATTCATGTAAATACACAAGCGCCACATTATAAACAATATGAAGCATACCAAATGTCTTTATATTTCAAAATAATTTAACAAATCGTAACAGAATCATTTAACAAATGGTGACAAAATAATTTTAATATATTATTCAACTACATTATATATATATATAACACACAAAAGTATAACAAGGGAAAAATAGAAAACATAATGCATAAAAGCTGAACAATAGGTTTGTCTTGCATAACAAAATATATAACAAAATAAATCACCAACATCTCATCTATATCATCCACCTTAAAATGTCAGGTCAAATAAGAAGGCCCAATTTTCACGAACTTTCTTTAAAGGCAAGTCCTGGCGTTTTTCTATAGAAATGCGTTATTGGAATTAAGGAAAACTCGAAATTCAATATTTGTTTATGAACTGGTATCTTTATTGATGCTATTGAATCCTTTTGAAAATTTCACGTGAAGGGACTAGATTAGTCTTGTTGTATATCTTACAAACACCGACAGAATAATAGGTCATTTCATTTATCGAAAAAAAGATAATAAAATAGAAAAACAGAAATACGTAAAAGAAAACCAATATCAACGTGACGTTTTTTTATCTGGAAAACCACGCAGCCAGCTATAAGATAACTCCACTAATCGGTCTCAGTCAAAATACGTACTGGAAACGATAATATTTAATACTTTTAGTAATTCTTCTTCCTTAATTAAAATTCAGTTATTCAGTCAGGCCTTAGTTTGAAATACATCTTTCAGAAAAAGGTCTAGTATTTTGACGTCATAATGACGATAAAGTCAATAATCTGGTAAGTATGGGAATGTCACCTTAAGTCCGTATATGAAGGCACTGCTGTAGTATACTGTATCATTATCATAAAGGATTATAAATCCACGATAAAGAACATTTGTCGTCAAAAATAATATCATTGCTAATAAAAAACGATAAAACAATATAAAATCATTTATAACAACGGGGAAAATAACAATAAATATCACCGAACACCGTGCTTGATAATACAATATTCCTTTCTCAGCGCTGGTGTTATACGGGGCTGTGGTATTAATATCTAAATATATTAGAAGAAAATATGTAAAAATATAGATTATATATAAATGTATATATTATTATAGATAGAAATAGTTAGACCAATATCTTCTCTCACCATGTTTGATATTTTACGTACTTGTGGATTTGAAGTATTCCATTTACACCTTTAAGTAGATATTTATTCTGTTTCAAGGAATGTTTATAATATATGAGCTCCGAAATATATCTTATCAAACTCCTAAAACTTTCAAATACATGCAATTTATGAAACAAATGTTCTAATGGTAAAGTATGCAGCAAGCAAAGATCTGATAATATCATGGCCGTGGTAATAGAAAAAGTCCATTAGTTCACATTTGACGCATAGTCAAGGGAGAGAGAGAGTCAACGTTACCACGTACACATGGTGATTAAGCGGATAATAATATAAACAAAAAATAAAACCTGAGAGGCCAGCTCTAAATACGAGTAAATATAATATTTGGCACAGAGTTATATAGTGATACATATAAGAAATATCAGACAGTGCTTGCCTAGCTTCTGTCTTACTGAGGTAAGATAATACTACAGTTTGAATAAATCACCATCAACAGCACACTTTGTATTAGAGTTATCTCACCTTAGACCAGAAGGTTGATTCATCCTTTAGGTTCTTTAGGTTTTGTCCATTCCTCTGTTGTTTGGTCCTTTATCCAAGCCAGGTTTTGCCCATTTCTCTATCTTCCAAACACTGAGAGAATAATAGGTCATTGTATTTTTCGAAAAAAATGTTGAAATAGATAAACAGAAGTACGTAGATTCTTACGGTTTGGACCATTCCTTGGTTGATTCGTCCTTACGGTTTGGCCCATTCCTTGGTTGATTTAAAGTTTGGACCATTCCTTGGTTTATTTAAAGTTTGGACCATTCCTTGGTTTATTTAAAGTTTGGACCATTCCTTGGTGCATTTAAAGTTTGGACCATTCCTTGGTTACGGTTTGGACCATGCCTTGGTTGATTCGTCCTTGCGGTTTGGACCATTCCTTGGGTGATTCGTCCTTACGGTTTGGTCCATTCCTTGGTTGATCCGTCCTTACGGTTTGGACCATTCCTTGGTTGATTTAAAGTTTGGACCATTCCTTGGTTGATTCGTCCTTACGGTTTGGACCATTCCTTGGTTGATTCGTCCTTACGGTTTGGACCATTCCTTGGTTGATTCGTCCTTACGGTTTGAACCATTCTTTGGTTGATTCGTCCTTACGGTTTGGACCATTCCTTGGTTGATTTAAGGTTTGGACCATTCCTTGGTTGATTCGTCCTTAAGGATTGGACCATTCCTTGGTTGATTCGTCCTTTACCCAAGCCAGGTCTTGACCGTTCCTTGGATGATCTGTCCGCATACAGGACATCTCCGGACAGCCTGAGAACATACCTGACAGCAGACAAGGTGTGCACAGGGTAGAAACGCGATAGAAGCGTCCTCCTCTTCACAGATCCTACACAGCTTCTGTCTCTTCAGGCTTCTGTTCTCCTCCATCAGATCATTGATTTCTGTAATGTAACATCAGTTTGACATAGATTATTAAGCTCTCAGTGTTTTTATCCCCTGCATGTCATGCGTCAAATACTTGCATATTTTCAATTTGACTCGATGATTATTTTGATAATTTTAAATAGAATACTCATTTCTTTTAAAACCATGATAGAAATGACTCACTATGTGAAAAGGTAGTTAAAACACTAAGCTATCAAACATATTTAATTCTTACTTTTACTCCGAAATATCTGTTAATAACCCACAGTCCTTATAATAAATAATAAAACACTTTCAGATTATTTAAGACAACAGAAGTTAATATGAAAACATTTTGTCCTAAGTTTTGTTATCGTGAGAAATATTGGTTATATATGTCGAATATATATACCTTCCAGTGTAAAGAAACCAATAAGCAATACCTATTTTATAAACTGTAATACTTTCACCCTTTGGCAATTCCGTTATCTCTTTAAATATGCCTACATACTATTATCACAGTAACTGTTCCGTTATAAATTCGTTTGCTTGTACAAGGATGAAAAGGGCGCACATTTAACATTCACGAAACGTCAATTTTGTGTTTCACTCGTTGCTATAATCGTAAAAAGTATCAACTAGACTTCAATAACTTCGACAAGATTCAAGCTTAGCGATGTTAGATAGCGACTATCAAGCTTACTTTTCATTTCCTGATCAATCGGTTCCGGAACATCGGGGTGAGGTGTATTGTGGCAGGGTCTATTGTTGTCATTGTTGTCGTCATCCACGTCGTTTATGACGTCATCTATACAATGATCGTCTGTATCCTGCAGCCGGTAGATCTCCTCCACTATAGCGATAGCTTCAATGGTTTGTTCTCCTATAAATACATAAATAACCTGATCAGTATTATTGTAACGAGGTACAGGTTTATCAAGATAATCCTTTAAGTCCAAAAGTATTTTCCATCTTGCCTCTTTGTCTCCATTGTGACGTCACAATATAATCCGAACGTATTTGACGTCAATATATATTAATTCAATGACGTCGACAAATGTTTCATGAATTTTCATATGTTTCACCTGAACTTGTTGGAATATAACGTTTTTGTTATATACGACAATAACTGTTCAACAAAGTTTATTTTGAATTTGATATTTTGTACATATACATCGATGTAATGTACTGCTGTAGTCTCATATTTGTTATAGGCATTCAATGTAAATACAATATTCCTTTGTTAAAATTTGAGTGTATTTGAGTATCTACCTTTCTTACGGAGATTCCTTACAGCTATATTGATCATTTTTGGATGGTAACCGTTCTCAATGAGACTTTGGTAGGCTGGTAATGAGCGTATAGCCTCCATGTCGTTTGTCTGCCCTTGATCTTGAATAAGTAAGCCGGACATCTCCTTGATCTGGTTTGTGTTGGTCGCTTTCCCTTCCTAGTTATGTGAGAATATTATAATCATTATCATATCGTTCATTACAGGACAATAAACGTAAGTTTATATACTAGAATCAGTTTGAAAATGCATACTGTATTGCATAACATAAGAATGAAACTTTTATAGGAGTCCAACGAATCCTCGATATCCAAGAAAGCATAACTATAATACAGACAAAGTTTTCGTTACAAGCAGCTAATGAATACACATTATAATCCCACTTGTTGAAAGCAAGTGTAATTAAATATTATGTTGATTGAAATATAGTAAATAGTTACAAATTAAAATGTAATTTTGGTGAGTTAATTATCATGTTCCTTTAAATATAGCTTTACTGATAGTCATTGATTAAACTGATTTGCCATCATTAATGGGTGCAAGACTTACCTCTCTATCCAGTTGTTCGTGTACCAGCTGAATAAATTCCAGTCCTTTGTTTTGACGTAGGTAAGCACATTTTGGGAACCATCGCGCATGCTCAATCCATGGATCATCTCCTTCCTCCCAGTTACGTAGGCCACCACCACAGAAAAAGCAGCGGGTGTAATCAGCATAGCCGGCGTACACGAATCCCGCCTCAGCCATCAGGTTAGGCGTCTGGGGGGCCGACCAACCGCTGTAAGAGCTCATTCTCACCGGCAACACCGCATAGGCTGGGTACTTTGGTTTGTCAAAGTTGACACCAAGTGGCGCCAGTTTTTTCATTGTAGAGGTGCTGACATCTGTATCGGTTCTCTGTTGGGTTCTCTGCGTCTGAATGTTTTGTCTCCACGTTCCGTTCACCGTTCCGTTTGGTGAGGTTTGGTTCGGTCTATTTGATGTTCCATGCATTATTCTTGGAATGCCATTGTGTCCTTGTGTCGTTTGGTCATTTAATCTATTTTCGACGCTTGGCACATTCTGAGTGTTTTGATTATGCGTTGTTGATGCATTGGAATGTGCTGTGCCATTTTGTACACACCCTTGTCTTTGCTGATAGTCGGGCAGTTGCTGTCTGTAAGACTGCCTTTCTGAATTAACTTGGATGTTACCATCTGGTGACCTGACATCTGGTAGAGGTCGATCAGCATTAATAAACATGTTTTCTGATGATTGAGTTACGTTGGCCTGGACAACAGCTGATTGTATTCCTGTGTTAGGTTGAAATTCTTCCGTTTCCTGACTAGGCAGCGAGGGGTTTTCAGGCAGAGGGGAACTATCCAGTCCTGCAATGCTGTATTCTGCTCTCTCCTGTACTTGGAATGTTTGATTATTAGGTGTCGACGCCTCTTCCCGTGGTATCGGGATGTTTGTGTCATCGTTTCCTGCCATATGTCTGCAGTTCGGTGACAAAGTTCTGTGTAGTCGGTAGGGGTCATCACCTAAACGCCAATTTCTGTGTGATAATCCACAGGAGTAACATGTTACTTCATCTGCATGCCCACTATGATAAAATCCGGCTCTCGCTAGAAATATTGGACGGACCTGCATACTGTGCGATGAATTTGCGAAAGAATTTAACCGTAGCCATTCGATTTGCATGGAAGATTCGGTTGTACTCGTATTCCCATTCTCCAAACTTTGAAAGTACGGATCGAGACTTCTCGAAATTGGGTACACGTAAATACAAAGTTTATCTGGTTGTGTGTGCCATTTTCGAACAAGACTTTGGAGTTTAGAGTGATGTAACGATTTCTTCTTTCCTTTCTGATCTAGATCTTTCTCCGTTATGTTTGTGTTCTTCCAGTTCCCTTTAAGAGATTTGATGACATCAGACTTAACTTTCCTGTCCCTAGTTCTTTTTCGTTTCTTCATTTCCTTTACATGATCACCTTTGTGAATAATCGACCACTGCTTTGCTCTCTTTAGCGAGAATTTTAGGTTTTTCACAAGACCGCTGTCTTTCTTAGCTTTTCTGTGTCTGACCGATGTCTTTGGTTCCAGATATAAGCTTTGCTTTTCATCTGTCACTGTCACCATGAATATAGACTTCCTATTACGCCTTTGTGACACGGTTTTCTTTGGAACAATTTTATTATTTCTCGGTGGAATATTTACTGTTTTACAAATTTGCTTCAACTCTGTCTTCAGTTCAAGTATGCCTTGGTCTAGTCTGTTGATTCTTTCATTATCATGTTTGTTTTCTTCTTTCGGTAACACCAACTCACACAGTTTTGACTGACCGGAAGTGCTAACACGACATAACGTTGGCCGACGTTGTTGTTGACCTGAAATTTCCACACTACGAGAGTTATGGATCCGAATGTCATCTTCAGTACAGATACAGCCAGGGGATTGTGTAAACGTCATGTTTCTGAAACAAAACAAAAGAATTACTTTTATTGGGCTACAAGACAATTCTCGAGAAAAACATTCTAGATCACAAATAATATATAAATGACCAAGAGGTCCTGTATCTCTCACCATGATATTCAAAGACTTATTGACAATAATATCCTTAGGGTTGTGTCAGAATCCCAGGCTAACCTTTGTAAGATATGTTTACATAAATCTGCGTGCTCAGCAATCGTTTATATTGTTTATAGGATGTGAAACAAAACCATTTCAATTTTAGGACACAGGGACGATTAGTTCCTAAGGCTGGGGCTGACCCAAAAGTTAATCCTGGTAGTACATCGGCATTAGTCTATTAGTGTTCAACAAATATGCAGAAGATTATAAGATGGGGATCTCATCTGTTTCCACTTTGTGACCGAGGGAATTAGCCCAAAAGAATGGGATCTATTCTGATAGCATGGTGATGTTCATTTTGTCTTTCATCAAGACCAGCGATTGTTTATATGGTTATGGGGTGAGGATTTCAATTATTTCCATTCTATGAACAAGAGACTAAGCCCCAGAAAGCAAGGCGGCCCACGAGAACAATACTGGTAAGCTGATTCTTTGCACAATGTAATATTTATGAACAAAGAAGTCGCTAAAGGCACTAAGACTAAATAAACTGTGTTGACCCCGTCTTCATAGGTTACTTAAGGATTAAGTGTAGGTCAAAACTGTATTATCCATATACCACCTATAGTTACCTACCCTTTTTAATGTGGAATATGGGGGTATATTAAGGGAGTCATGTATTATAGCATGTAACATAGGTCTAATTCAGCATCCGGAAATGTGTTTTGTAGAACTATTCCACAGTGGGGGGCAAACTTAACTTGGTAGCCTATAGCTAGTACACTGGAGATAACAAGAACAGTTAACTGGAGTTCACATCCTTGTGCACAGGAGTTAACACTAAAGTAAACCGGGGTTCACATCGATTCGATGTGTACTGAAGTTAACACTGAAGTAAACCGGGGTTCACATCGATGTGTACTGGGGTTAACACTGAAGTAAACCGGGGTTCACATCGATTCGATGTGTACTGGAGTTAACACTGAAGTGAACCGGGGTTCACATCGATGTGTACGGGAGTTAACACTGAAGTGAACCGGAGTTCACATCGATGTGTACTGGAGTTAACACTGAAGTAAACCGGGATTCACATTGAGATGTACTGAAGTTAACACTGAAGTAAACCGGAATTCACATCGAGATGTACTGAAGTTAACACTGAAGTAAGCCGGGGTTCACACCGATGTGTACGGGAGTTAACACTGATGTAAACCGGGTTCACATCGATGTGTACTGGAGAAAACACTGAAGTAAACCGGGGTTCACATCGAGGTGTACTGGAGTAAACACTAAAGTAAACCGGGGTTCACATCGAGGTGTACTGGAGTAAACACTAAAGTAAACCGGGGTTCACATCGATTTGTACTGGAGTAAACACTGAAGTAAACCGGATTCACATCGATGTGTACTGGAGTAAACACTGAAGTAAACCGGATTCACATCGATGTGTACTGGAGTTAACACTGAAGTGAACCTGAGTTCACATCGATGTGTACTGGAGATAATACTGAAGTAAACCGGGGTTCACATCGAGGTGTACTGGAGTAAACACTAAAGTAAACCGGGGTTCACATCGAGGTGTACTGGAGTAAACACTAAAGTAAACCGGGGTTCACATCGAGGTGTACTGGAGTTAACACTGAAGTAAATCGGGGTTCACATCGATGTGTACTGAAGTTAACACTGAAGTAAGCCGGGGTTCACACCGATGTGTACTGGAGTTAACACTGAAGTAAATCGGGGTTCACATCGATGTGTACTGGAGTTAACGCTGAAGTAAACCGGGGTTCACATCGATTCGATGTGCACTGGAGTTAACACTGAAGTAAATCGGGGTTCACATCGATGTGTACTGGAGATAATCCTGAAGTAAACCGGGGTTCACATCGAGGTGTACTGGAGTAAACACTAAAGTAAACCGGGGTTCACATCGAGGTGTACTGGAGTAAACACTAAAGTAAACCGGGGTTCACATCGATTCGATGTGCACTGGAGTTAACACTGAAGTAAATCGGGGTTCACATCGATGTGTACTGGAGTAAACTACAGTTCACAAAGTAATTTTCTTTATCATATTATGTCTGGCCTTTTCATCAGGTTATTATATTATTATTTTCTGCTCAATAAATCAATAAACGAATAAAATATTAGATTTTACCTTATCCTAAACTTTAAATGATCTAAGCAGTAACCTTTAATGAAAATAGCATGCGTTAATATATAATAACTATAAAGCTATTACATTATTTGCACATGCACCGACTTGGATCCATGCTACATGTATTGGTGGTGTCAACTTTATAATACTTTGTCTTAAAGGCATAATCATCATTAAAGTTCATCTTAGTTATGACAGTATTACGGTCACATAAGATATTAAAATACATATTCATATTAATTAGTACATGATAGTGAAACATACGTCTTTTTCTGTATAAAGCTCATGCAACTACATGTATTTTGTGAATAAGAAAATATACTATGTACTAGTTAAATGTTTTTTCTCATTCATAATAAGTAACAATGTACTGTAGTTACAGGAACGCAAATCTGAATTCCAACAAAACATTTATTTAGAAACAATTATATATGTAGGTATCCAAATTGACTTTTCTACGCCAATACATAATTAGAAAATTGGCAATGTACATATTTGTTAGCGCGGTTCACATTCTGAAGCTTCTCAAACATTCTCGAATCAATTGTTTAGCTGCTATTCATATCTAACTTTTTCAACCAATCAGATAGCTCCGTGAAGTAAACAGCATTGTGATAAATATTGACCTGTACACGTGTTGCAACCGTTGCGTACTGAAACAACTGAATATCATAATAAATAACTAATGTCGTGATTTGGATTTCGTAATAGACATTATACATTACAACAGCAAAGGAAAATTAACCGGTATGTTAATGTCATCAAAATTAAAAACGCTTTATCATCACATATACTCCTAGATCTTTACCGTAATATTGCGCCATATACACCTATCTAAACCGTATTTCATGGACATACATGTACCAAAANCGATGTGTACTGGAGTAAACTACAGTTCACAAGGTAATTTTCTTTATCATATTATGTCTGGCCTTTTCATCAGGTTATTATATTATTATTTTCTGCTCAATAAATCAATAAATGAATAAAATATTAGATTTTACATTATCCTAAACTTTAAATGATCTAAGCAGTAACCTTTAATGAAAATAGCATGCGTCAATATATAATAACTATAAAGCGTAATGACCTAGCTATCAAATTATTTCCACATGCTACATGTATTGGTGATGTCAAATTTATAATACTTTGTCTTAAAGACATAATCAACATTAAAGTTCATTTAAGTTGTAACAGTATTACTTCTACATAAGATATAAACAATATATGTTCATATCAATTAGAACATGATAGTGAATCATACTTTTTTTCTGTATAGAGCTCATGCAACTACATGTGTTGTAAATAAGAAAATATACTATGTACTTAATAAATAAGATTGTCCGCCGTCTCTAGAATATTAAATAATTAAGAAAACAATTCTAAAAAAATTTGATCACTTTAATTGGATGTCTGATTCTAAGTTCTAGAAAAGGGGGAGATAAGCTAGTAATAAAATGCAGCCGAGAAATTTTTCATAAAAACTTAAGCCAGTCTATAAATAAATGTATTTCCTCATTCATAATCAGTAACAACTAACGTACTGTAGTTATAGGAATGCAGATCTGAATTCCAACAAAACATTTATTGATATATATAGGTATCCAAATTGACGTTTCTACACCAGTACGTAATTAGAACATTTGCAATATGCATATTTGTTAGCGCGGTACACAATGTGAAGCCATTTTACAGTGTAGAAGCTTCTCCAACATTCCCGAATCTATTTTTGTGCTGCTATTTATATCTGACCTGTCTCCGTGAAGTAAACAGCGTTGCATAAATGCGTGGTTTTGTGGTTTGTGTGGTTGATATGGTCTGAATTACATTCTGAATACAGGTAACCTAACATCCCAAGTAATCAACATGAAAAAAGCTTTATCATCACATATACTCCTTGATCTTTACCGTAATATTGCGCCATATACACCTATCTAAACCGTATTTCATCACATATACTCCTAGATCTTTACCGTAATATTGCGCCATATACACCTATCTAAACCGTATTTCATCGACATATACTCCTAGATCTTTACCGTAATATTGCGCCATATACACCTATCTAAACCGTATTTCATCGACATATACTCCTAGATCTTTACCGTAATATTGCGCCATATACACCTATCTAAACCGTATTTCATCGACATATACTCCTAGATCTTTACCGTAATATTGCGCCATATACACCTATCTAAACCGTATTTCATCGACATATACTCCTAGATCTTTACCGTAATATTGCGCCATATACACCTATCTAAACCGTATTTCATCGACATATACTCCTAGATCTTTACCGTAATATTGCGCCATATACACCTATCTAAACCGTATTTCATCGACATATACTCCTAGATCTTTACCGTAATATTGCGCCATATACACCTATCTAAACCGTATTTCATCGACATACATGTACCAAAGGGAGATCATGTTATTTATTGATAATATATGTTAAAATGACCGTTTCGCATTAAACCTGTTTCATATAAAAAAAATAGTCATTCATACCTGTCGACAGGATATTCCAGTTATGTAGAGGAAACTCCGCTCTCCCAACTATTTATATATACGATGACGCTTATATATCACTGACGATATTTCTATTTATAGATGGCTGTTACGCAAGAAAAAAAAAGAATTTCATCATTTTATTGCATAAGCCCAGTGTATTTATCTAACACAAAATCATTTGTGTTGTTTATTTGATGTACTTTCATATATACTGCTAACAGATA